TTGAGATGGCTTATCCCTAAGTTATTGGAAATTCCTACAATACCTTGAAGTTATTGTAACTTGATGCGTTTGACCTACTATAACAGATTTCACAAGTCGCATTACGTAAAATACAATAGGCATTACGTAAAGGTTACGTAATGTGTATTTATCTTACGTAATAGTTGAAAAATATCATTACGGAAACCTCACGTAATAGATACTCATTTTACGTAATGAATATTGACCTTTCGTTACGTAATCTGTTAAATCATTACGGAAGACTTACGTAACGCCTCTAATTTAACTGTTACGTAAGAAATAACTATCGTTCCGTAAACTTTACGTAATAGATGCATACTTTACGTAACAGTTGTAAAGTGTCATTACGGAAGCCTTACGTAATGGATGGTCCTTTTACGTAATGTAGTAAGTCATTACGGAAGTCTTACATAACACTTCAAATTTAACTGTTACGTAAGAAATAACCTTCGTTACGTAACATTTATGTAATGAGCGTGTATTTTATGTAACCATTGTAAAATGTCGTTACGGAAGCCATATGTAATAGACGATACTTTTACGTAATGAATATTGACATAGCGTTACTTATCACATAGCCTTTGCCATATATATATATGGTGGCTACTTCGGTGCACTCACTTTTTTGGGTGCACTCAGTGCACCCAACTCTAAAAGCGTCCATAATACATCAAATTTTGAACTTTAATTAGTACTCTCAATATAATACGATGATATGACATAGAATCATAACAAATCAATCCATTACCCTAACCCCTTAACCTTCAATTTTGAATCCCAACCCAAAATCCCAAATTGTAAACCTAAACCCTATCCCTAAATCCCTAAATCCTAAATCCTTCAAATTAAAGTAAATTTTGAATGATTTTTTTTCAAATTCATGTGCTTCTTGTTCATAATATCATAAGCAACAATTGATACCGTTTTGACATGAATCGCACGGTCAGAATGACAATTATGAGGCGGGTGCACTGAGTGCACCCGAAAAAATGGGTGCACCGAATACGCCACCATATATATATATATATATATATATATATATATATATATATATATATATATATATATACCACATATGGTTTTTAATACTCTGAGTATGTGATAAGTTTGTCTCACTAAAAGTTAGAAGAGAAATTATCTAGTATAGATTTTGTAGATACTAATTACTATTGAGTAACATGATATGGATAGTTAAAATTTATGAAATAAATAATATGATATTAGAGCTCGCGCCCAACCCAAATATTATTATTGAGTAGAGCACAAATAGAACTCATAAAATTATTTTTTTTTTATATCATAGTCAGATGAAATAGTAGACATATATGATTACAATAGATAAAAGTAACGACAGTCGATACTAATCGATCTGTCGATGAAAGAGCCCTTTATGCCACTAAATGGGCAGCTCTGTTAGTTCCTAAAAACAAAGTGACAAAAACACTGAAACCTAAAAAAGGATATAAGCTTTCGTCGCTACACCATACCGTTTTAAGCTCTCTGTGCCTTCACCTAGGATATGTGATGACAGTTCATCATTCCCACCTCTCACCGCACATATCCGCAAATAGGAACTTGTGGCACCTTGTTAGATAACAAGCCCTTCTTGTCCCTGTAAATAACAAACAAAAAGGAGCAACAGACAAAAGCCAACTCACAACAAGATAGACAATGCTTTACTAGCTCAAAAAATAAAATCACCGCAAACCAGTGCAGACGTGGTAATAAAATAAATGGTGAAGTGGGGAAGCTGGTGGTGGTGGCAGTGGGGTGGCGGCGTCGGTGAGGGTTGACGGCCGCCACGTGGGCTTCCATATCGAACTAAGAAGATGGCTGCAACGAAAGCCATAGTTGCAATTTCGCCGTTGTTCCTGCAAAACCGACAAACTGATGGGCCAACGACCCAATAGCCCCATGGCCATGAAATGGCCCATAGATACCACGTATTCCCCCGGTTAGGTGGCTACAAGATAGCAGCTAGTCGCCACGTTTCATCCTTTTCTCCTCCATGATTTGTATTAGGATAAGAACAAACATACTTGAGACTTACACGCGTCGGCAGGCTGGTGCTGAGCGGCATCCAAATCGGAAGTCCTCGCCGGCACGGGAGACCACCACAAAGGAAGCGAACCTGTCATAGTGAACTCAGACCCAGATTGAGAAACTACAGGGAGGAACAAAATCCTTAGGGAGAGCAGAATCATTAATCCAACGCCAAAATAGGAAAAAATGACAGTAATAAGGCTCCAAACAAGCAATCGAACTCCATATTGAAATATGTGGAAATATCACAAGACCCCAGAGCAAAAACTGGAAGAATATCACCAAAAATCTTCTACTACCCTAGCGGCAGTTGATGAAGAAGAGGAATTGGTGGCGGTTTGCAGCAGCGGCAACCGAAATCCCGTTCGCTTGTAGACTTGTGGCTCTGAAATAGCGGACGACGGCTGTTCGGCAGAGGAGCTTCCTTGGAGAATCAATCTCGGTTGTAGACTTAAGATACTCTGAACTTTGTTTATGGACTAGGAAAACGTCTCCAGCGGCGGTGTCGAGTAGACGCGTCGACTGTTGATGACTGGGCGCGACGCAGCAGCGAGGCGACGGGCTGCTGGTCGTCGAGGTGATGGCGGCGGAGGATGTAGACAGAACGACGTCGATTCAGATCGACCGGCTCCCCTTGTCGTGAGATGGAATAGGAAGTTGACGTCATGGTCGCTGGTGGGATTTCATAAAATTATTAGGGCTAATACCACTACAACACCCGAACTATGACAAAAATGTCACTTGTGTCCTATTGTTTTCGATATTCCATTTATATCATGAACTATATAAGTTTGTGACATTTGTGTTATGACGTCTAACGTTGACCGTTAGAGATAACTGTTGACCGGACGGAAGTCAAACTATTGTTGACTTTCGCTGATGTGGCATAAATGTGACATCCACCTAGATTCCACATCATTGACATGTCATTATTTAATAAAAAATTATATTAAATTATAATAGGAAAATAAAAAATTATTAAAAGTAAAAAATAAAAAATTAATTATTGGGATCTCTTCCTTTCCCCTGTCTTCGCTCCGCCTTGTCTTATGTCCACCTTCAATCCACCCTAGAAATCCCCAAAACCCTTTCATCTCGGGTGCTTCGACTCGAAAGCTTGATAATTAAAGAGATTTCCCCAAATCGAATCAATTGAGAGAACACCGACGAGGGGAGATCATGAAGAAATTACAGGAAAGGGATAGAGTGACGGAAGGAGGAAGAGTACTTCGAAGTGCTGCTGGATTTTGCGGGGATCGATAAGGTTTCCCTGGGCGCCGACGCCATGGTTGATTATGTTCGGGCGCTGGTACATGTTGGAGAGGAGAATGGTGGAGAGGAGAATGCTCCCCTTCCCAACATCTCCGTCAATGCCTTGAGCAGATCCCCCAATTCGAACGACGACGGTTGATCCCTCTCGCCGTCGTAGAACACCAGGTTGCTCCTCTCCACCCTGTTGCTCTCGATTGTGAAATGGGAGTCTGGGAATGAAGCCTTGACCTCGCTCCCGACGTTGCCGACAACGATGATGAAAGAGCGTTTTGGCGGCCTGACTGAATGGATCGGAGAAGAGTCCCCCAAATCGAATCATTTACGGATCTGCGAGGGCGAGGAGGAGGAAGAGGAAGACGACGGCGGCGGACTGGAGGGAGGTGAATCGGTGGACCGGGGTGCGGCCTTTGAGTAAAGGGTCGGCGTCGGAGGAGATTAGGGTTTGGTGGGCGAAGGCGATGAGGAGGAAGGTGATGATTAGGTAGAGCTGGAGGTGACGGAGGCGGGAAGCGGCGGGGAGAGGGTGGAAGGGTTTGGCGGTGTAAGACTGTGGGGATTTCAGATAAGAGCGGGCGGAGGAGATGAGGTGGTATAAACCCAGGGAGATGAGCGGCTGTTCATCGCCGATTTAGGGCTTGGGGAAGAGGTTGGTGGGACGAGGGGTGGGTTAATTTTTTTTTTATATTTTAATTATTACCTTTTTCTTATTTATTAATATTAGATAGAAAAATAAATAAATAAAAATATTAAAAATTCCACGTCAGATACCACATCAGCACTGACTGGACTTTCTGTTAAAAACAAACGGTCAACAAAAGTCAACATTAACGGAATCATAGTTCAGGACACAGATGGAATATTTGATACAATAGGACACAAGTGGCATTTTTGCGATAGTTCGGGTGTTGTAGTGGTATTAGCCCAAATTATTATTGAGTAGAGCACAAGTGAAAGACGAGCCAAATTAAAAGTATAACTGCACAAAACAACTTGCACCGTACATCTAGACTGCTTTACATTGCTCATTTAGACCTAATTTTACTGTTCACTTCCATCTGATTGGTTGTTGGGTTGGGGTGGGCCCTTTGTGTTCCATAGACTTCTCCATTTGCTCATTTGCCGCGTTGTGTGCGTTTGATTCCTTGCTTTTGTTTGGAGGGATCTGGAAGACGCTGTGAGAAAACTCGCGTTGTTCACAGGGATGCATTGTGGGACAGATGCTTTTTGGCCGCTTCACCTGCGTGACAGCGAGTTGGTTGATGGATGATCTTGAGGGGATGGAGAGTTCAACTTTTGATGGGAGGTTGCTATTTGATTGACTTGGGCGGCTCTTCTTGCAGAGAAAGAGAGGGGTGTTCAGTGAGTTGGAGATACCAAGGTGGGAAAAAAACTACAACTCTTTTTCTCCACCACATGTTATACCTACCTCTTCAATCCCACTTTTCTTTTGCCCATCACGTTTTTGTTTTCTCTCTCTTGAACCTTTTCTTGCTCCCATCTCATTTGGATTTCTCCCCAAACAGCTCTAATCCATTCATTTCTTTCTCCATTTCTCACCTCCAAATTCGTCCTGCGAGCACCGGATAAGGGAGGAAACCGAAAAATTAGCCAGGGCTTTTCTAAGGACGACAGTGAGAGCGATAAAAAGAGAAATTTGGGGGTCTAGACTCTGGAGTCGATCTGGAGTCACTTGGAAGAATGCTTCTGCGGTGGGTTGCAGGTCCGAAAGATTGATTCTCTCTTATATTTTGTTTCCCTGTCTTTTTCACTTCTTGCACCTCATTCCGCTTTTGTTTCTCTCATCTTCTTTTCGAAAACCAGCAGAGGTTGAAACGATTAACTGCCAGTTTTTTTAACTGGTCGGGAAAAGATTCAGAGGATATCTAAATATGCAGGTTCTCCTTTCTCTGTCTTTGATGAGTTTCCCCCCTCTTTTCTGAGATGAGTTCGTTCTCTGTTTCTTCCCATGAAGCTTTTTTTTTATATCGTTTTTCAGATGAGATGCCGGCAAAGATTCCCCCATCAGAGATGGGTCATGGAGTTCCGACGAAAAGCCAGCGAGACCAGGCGATTTCCTGGATGGTAACCCGATATCTGCTGCGAGCCATTCCCACGGTGGTCCACTGTAGTGCACCGTTCCTTGGCAGATCCGAAATTTTTATCTGATTTGAGCTTTCCGCTTGCAGATTAGTAAAACAATTAGCTCAGCGGGAAAGAGCAGGTAACGATCGAGAGTTCGTCAGTTTCTTCCTCTTTACTTTCGTATTATGTCATTTACTCTTTCATTGTTATTATGGGTTTTTGCAGATCTGAAACGTGTTTTGCAACCTCAACGAAGACAGAGGTTGTGGTACATAGGATCCTCAAGTTCTCATTCTTATCATCATTTTCTTCGATCTACCAGGGCGAGGATGGAGATATCGGGTTTCATAAAGCATACATCCCAAATTGTTTGATGTTCCAGAAGAACATATGGTAAATTACCTTTTCCCGTATGACTTCTTTTCACCTCATTCTAGGCCCTCTCCCGTAGTCCTTGGATATGCATTTTTCTCTATTCTGCAGTTATTTTGTTAGCCGTCTGTGGGGTTCAGTTCTTCTAATTCAGACAGATGTTAGGTAGTCCTTGAAGTGTGATTCTTTCCATCTTGCATGATCTTTTCCTCACATTTTCATTTGGGTTCCCCATATAGTTTTTTTGTTTCACTTTTTTATACCCATCCATTTGATGAAAGTGAGATGTTTTGAGAGTGTCCTTGAATACACCATTTTAATCTCTGGTCTCAAATTTTCTCTGCTTCATCCTCTTCTCTCTCTGTGTTGCAGGTAGCTGTTTTCTGGAGTTGAGAATCTACCAAGCATGCACATACTCTTCTGTTTTTACTTCTATGACCAGTACACGATTTACACTTTCTGTGGACTCTGATGTTGTTTGCTTTGTATCATGAAATCTGCTTTGCTGATTGGTTGGGGTTATGACTTATGCAATAGGATTGGTTTGGGAATTTCAGCTACTGTAGAGTGCATCATATGGAAACTGAAATATAACGTCAGTAAAGAGTCAAGTCATGGGTTATGTTAGGTTACCTGGCAGTTAAACCTTCGATTTTACTTTATTACATCATGATAAGTGTGTTGTTTCCCTTGATCTAATTGTATGTTCACTAATCTTGAAGTTTGGCTTAGATTCTCACAGATAGTCATAATGCTTTTATCGAGTTTACTTTTTTTTTTGGTAGAAGAGTTTACTTATTTTGCTTATATTCTATAAGTACTACAGTACGGGCAATAGTTGGAATTGGTGAGAGCTCCAATAGGATGAACAAATACATGTTCTATCATTTCAGGATCCACTCAGATAAAATATCATGTGAAATATCATGTGAGGTCAGGTCTTGGTATTCGAGTTGCTTGCATTTTCTGTATGTCTGTTATTTTGTCCAAGTTGTATTCATGAACACAACGCATATGTAAGTATTTTTGTTTTAACATAACTAAGTGTTGCCTTCCTTTGTTTCCTACGATAGTAAATCACATACATGTTAGTAATTTTTGGTCTTCCAAATTACAAATTTTATCTGTCTAATGTTTGTGCAGGCAGAGCCAGTACACCCAAAGATGTTGAAATACATGTTCTCTCATTTCAGGGCAAACTTGGATCGAAATGAAATTAGGCATTAGCTTTTTGGAGCAGCGATCGAATGTTTTATCTAATGACAGATGATAGTAACCTGTTGTCTTCTAGATGGCAAGCTTTTAGTTCTTTGTGTTGATCTAAATAAATAGCAAGTTCTCAACTTTTGCCTGTACAAACTAGTGGGTGAAGTTGCATTTGTTGTAAGTAAACGACTATCACTGATAATTTACATAAATCCACAACCAGTTCATTTTATATCCCACAAAGGAGATCATCAATTTTCACCAACATCTGCATGAAATGCTTTGGATAGTTAGTGACTTTCATCATTTCATCCATGGGTCACTTTTGGGAGCTTTGTTGGCTTACGTGATCTGACTGCATCACAAGTCACGCCTGGGACTTTGTGAGTGATCACATGACGAATTATATTCTGATTGCAACTTGGACCCCAAAATCTAACGAAACTATGCCCCGCTTTGGGCATTGTTCCCAAGTTCTTAATCCAAAATTTACAGGTCCAATTATAGGATACCGAAATGAAAAGAGAACACAAAACCTGTTTGTTCACAAAACGACATATTGATGGTTGTTCCACTTATTTGCCAAGCCCATATAAAAAATGGGCTCACAAGTATAATTGGATAGTTGTTTATGTTCTTCTATACAAATGGCCGAGCGTGTCTTTCAAAATAAATAATGAATTAGTGTTTGACAAATTTATTCTAAAATAGAGTTAGATACCCAAAATTACAAAATTTGATTCTTTTAAATACTATTTAACCTCATAATTATACATTATAATGCCAATCAAATGAGGATATGCAAACAGTGGAAACATTTATTCACACTTTCATTTTATAGATTTGGTCATATATTTGTTTGATATCAATAAAATCAATTTGGTTTGTTTCCTTTAGATAAACTTAAATATAATTCATATCCCGAAGCGGAGCGCGGGCAAGGATACTAGTTTTCATTAAACAAGCAACTTGTTTATCATGCGTTGAGCTCGATCTAGATCAAGACTCGGCTCAACTCGACTCATTTGCAGTCCTACATATTGTAGCTCTATTAGACAAAAAAGTGCAAATAGTGTGAAAAATATATTTAGAACACCAAAAATTGTCAAAAATAAATGTCATTTATAACATTAAATTTTTGAAATCACAATCCTATCACGATGTTTCATTTCTGTTGCCTTTGATCATTGATGGTAGAGGTGGCAATTAGGATCCAAATTCATGAATCCAATCCAATCCATCCACCAAATTATCCATCTAATCCAATCCATTTAAATCCAATCCATTTGATCCAAATCCTATTGGATTGGTGGATTCATGGATCAATCCATGAATCCAAATGACAAATTACGATTTGGTACCTATATTTTTTATATTTTACATTTTGGTACCTAAATTTTTTATTTTTATACAAAAAATATCATTGGAAAATTACATTTTGGTACCTAAAAATTTTCATTATGACATTTTAGTACCTAAGCTTTTCAAAATTTACATTTTGGTCCAAGCCTTGGATGTCATTTGGATTCATGGATCAATCCATCAATCCATTGGATCCAATCCATTTGATCTATGGATCCACCAATCCAATCCATGAATCCACGAATCCGATCCAATTGCCACCTCTAATTGATGGTCAACGATCAATGACCAATTTTTTTTCAAAAAGTGACATGTCTAACATGAACGTTTCCAAATGACAATCCTAGTGCAATGTTTTGCCTCTGTTTACTTTGACTATTACTTAATATAAAGATAAATTGAGCACTATGACGAAAAAGAGCTTCCTAGAATCACTCTCAGGTCACGAAATTTGAAATGAAATTCTCATTTTCCAATTTTATCATTATATTATGTGTAGATTTGTCACAAAAAAAATGATTATACTCGTTACAAAGGTCCATGTTTTGGTTATACTTTAGTATTTTGTCTAAACTAAACAACACATACAATTTAATATTAATGTTTGAATCAATACTGCTTGAGTTCCAATTTCAAAACTAATCTCTTTCTATAAAATATAAATAACATAAGATAAAATATAAATATAGAAGCATCATCATCAAACAAATTCTTAGAGTTTAATCAAAGTAATAATAATAAATAAAATATAGCCTAGTTGGTTATAATGCTCTTTCTTTATTTAATCGACCTAGGTTCGAACTCTAATTATAATATTTTTAATATATAAACATGAATCGGGTGCAATGACAAAAATGACATTCTTAGAATTACTTTGAGGCCACGAAATTTGAAATGAGAGAATTTTAACCCATATTTTGCCATTATGTATTTTGTAGACTTGCTCCAATTTTGTAGAATTCAGAATTTAAAATTGAAAATGAATTATTTAAAATGTCAAACATATGATTATTTATTTTAAAATAAATTTTTTAAAACTTATAAAATTCATTTATACTAAATAAATAGAGAAAAATTGAGAAAATAAGTAGAGGAAAACCCTCTATCCTTGCTAGGGATGTCAATCCAACCAGTAACCATGGGTACCCTACCCGACCGTAACCGGTCAACGAGGGTAATTACCCGCTTTGACGGGTTAAGGGGCGGGTACGAGTAATACCTGGTTTCAAAATAAAGGGTAGGGTACGGGTATGGTAATTGATAATACCCGCCCCGTTATACCCGCCCCGTTAACCAAATGGTCAATTTCCCTTGAGAAATTTATTTTAGCTTGAGAAGTTGAGTTTAGCTACCATTATTGATGATGAAGATGTAGACAATTATTATGTTTGTGTGGATTGTAGAAGCAAGAACACTTATTATGTGTTTGCTGTTTTTATTTGTGTGGATTGTTGAAGCTAGAACAGTTACAAGTATTGAGAATTTTTAATGGTCAATAGTATGTAAGTACATATATGTGTATAAGTTCATAGTTTAGGATTCGTACCCATGGTTACCCGAATACCCGTGGTTACCCGGTGGGTAGGGTATGGTTATATAATTTTCATACCCGGTGGTTATTTGATTGAGTATTTTAAAAAGCTCTATCCAACGGGTTAGGAGTTGGTATAGGGTAAACCCGCACCCAACCTACCCATTGCAATCTCTAATCCGGCCCAACTCCTGGAGATCCCTTTATTTTTGCTTTGCTGCAAATATTGTTTGTCAGAACTCAAAAGTTAGAACTTAGATATCTCTTTTATTTTATTTTTCTTTTCTCTCCCTCTCCCTCTCCCTCTCCCTCTCCCTGTGTCTGGCCAAAGTGAAGAACATAAGTCTTATCCATTTTATTCTAATCTCTGGAATTTTTTTCTTCCCATTGTCTCCCCCGACTTTTTTCTCCCTCTCGGCAGATAATGCAGTATCATTCTGCCTGAACCCTAATTCAGTATTCACTCATTACTGGGTACTTTTTGGACTCCTGAGCGGACCCCTCCATCTTTCTCAGAGCCTTTTCTGCTACTAGATGTTCGAGGAGTAGAATAATTAGCAGTGTCCTGTTACCCTTACTTTTTCTTTGCTGTTATTATCAGTTTGGAGTGAGTCGGGTGAGCGACGAGCTCGATTATCCGGCGAGATAGGCTGCGTCCGATTATTAGATCTGAGAGTTGTTGGGTTCTCAACGTGACCGTTTCTGTTGGTCGCTCTGGTTGGTGAATTTGGTGGCGAAGGTGGTCCGTAGAGCTTTATCTTCCATTCATCTGTTCGACTCGTTGGATAGTGTATTGGCTGGAATTGGTTGATCATGGACCACGTGATTGCCTCCAAATTTAAGCTGGGCCGGAAGATCGGGAGCGGATCTTTTGGCGAACTATACCTGGGTATGCTATTTTAGGGGTTTCTTCAGCAGCATTTTCTCTTCTCATCATCTTTTTTTGTTGTTGTAAAATCATATTTTTTTTTTATGGTTCATCTTCTTACTCCCAATAAGTGCTTCAGATTTTACTGTTTGGAGGTTTTGTTAGTTTACTTACAGCTTGGCTTGTCTACTTGGTTTCAGGT